CAACTGCCTCTTCCTGATGTTAAGTATAAGCCTCCTCTTTGTTTGCATCCTCTCCAAGACCTCATCGTCGCTCACACGCTCGGTCCGTGATATCCTCAGCATCCTTCTGTAGAACCACATCTCCGTCGTCTCGAGTCTCTTCTTCATCTTTGAGGAGACCGTCCAACATTCGCTGTCCTAAAGAAGGACACATGTCACGAAACAGCTCAGTACTCTTTTTTCTTTTCTTTTTTTCTTACCAAAGAGATCCTCCTGTGTTGCAATATTCTGCTCAGGTTTTGTAATACGTCTTTGGCCATCCCAATACGTGTACGGATCTCAGTGTGGCACTTACCGTCCTCTGTCAAAACACTTCCCAGATATTTAAACTTCCGCACCTGCTTGATTTTTAGTGTCCCCTACCTGCAAATCGCATTTCGGGCTCATCCTTTTACTGATGGCCATGCATTCTGTCTTCTTGTAGTTTTGGATTAGTCCTTTCTTCTCGCTCTTCTTCGCTACCTTCTGTAGGAGGTTTTGTAATTTCTTTTCTGTGTCTGCTATCAGTATTGTGTCATCTGCGTATCTTATGACGCCCCAAATCACGAGGCAATATTTATCTGATTATTTTCCATATCATATTATTTGTCTACTGATTAATAACAAGCGTAATAGCCATAAGTTGTCCTAATTTCTTAGTCGGAGCATTTCTTTAGAGTTAATATTGACGTGTTTATCTTTAGAATAGTGTTTTATCTCGACACTGACTTAAAGATCGCAAATTTATGTAAAAACGATTTGCTCGCATCTTTCAAAAGCAACAGAAATAATAAAAGACAAAATAGTCAAATTAAGAGTATTTTTTACATGTGACTGACTAGAAACTAAGAATACAATGAAGAAAAAAAAGCCTGTTGAAACGTATGAACGATGAAACACGAAAGTGAATTGAAAGTATTGCTCGCAGTTGTAAACCTTTATGTCAAGGAGTTTTCTCTAAGGAAGACAACCTTGAAACATGTGACCTTTTAACCATAATATCACTTACGATACACCATACTAAAAAAAATGACATTTTGACGCACAAAAAAATCTTTAATTATGGTAAAAGTTTTGGGAGTATGATTTGTATTAAGATTTTAGTTTTCGCTTAGTAAATATAGTCCTCAATTAATAACTTAATAACTTACCCTGTACTCTGGAAAAATTTTTAAATATTTTTTAAACTTAAAGTAAAAACAATTCTTGAAAAATTAAAGAAAAATGCAAACAATTCTTGTAAAAATTAATTATTCATCGATTTTTTTTCTTCAGAGAGTAATGTCCTTAATGTATATTATTCATAAAAGCCTATCTAATTAGATAATAGTTTTATTGCATTTTTTATTTTACGATTTGGAGCAGATTTTTAAAAAGTTGAGAGTAGTTGTGAAAAAAAATGATGATTTACTTTCTCCAAGGAGTCCTGCTTATAAGTAATATAAAACAATTTGCGAATTATTTGAAATTCTAGAAAATTTCATAAAATTTAGTTATGGGGAGTGGGATAACAGGTATAAAAAATATTTTTACCAAGATTTTCTAAAAAATAAAAATTTCAAAAATAAATTCATTCATTTTTTTTAATAAGTCCTGAAAGTTTCATTAAAATCAGACAATTATTTGATTTTTGCAAGAATTTTCAAATTACACAGGAAACTGCTACACTAAAAATGTCCATTGCCACAAGTCTTACAAAGTTGATAAAAAAAACGAGATTTTTTAGCCAAATTTAGAACCTGTTAGAAAGGAGGAAATTTAAAAAAATACTTTGTTCTTTCCTCTTAATAATAACATAAACATTATGGGGTTAAAACTTTGTTTTTATTAAGTTTGGGGCTTTTTATTTTTTTTTATCGAATTATTATAGGTATCTAATTAAAAGAGTACTCAATAGCAGTTATTTCATTTTAGCCCAGTTGCACAGAATCAAGTGGAGTCCAAATGCTACTTACAAATATGTTATTCAGCAATACCAAGCGTATGTGAAATCTTAGTATGGCATATATTCAATTGTATTTGATTGCCAAGGAAATGGACCAAGCTCAAAGAACCATGGACACATGAGAAGGTTGCAGTAGAACAAACCATTTCCTGATATCACAGTATTTACAAATATGCGTGCATGCGGAAGCCAGTATATGTTTCTGTCCAATGATGCCAACAAAGTGAAAATTGTAAACTTTACTTTATTATACTTTACTTTTGATGGACTTAGCATTGACAGCGATAGCAATATTTTCATTGACTTTTCCATATATAACGTTTTATTTGGTACTTAATATTTTGAACTATACTATGCCATTTCTCAGATCATGAGCTCTAATCCAAGTTTCCAAATTATGACTTTCCCCATAGGCTTTAAAGGCTTAATTCAAAAATGCAGGCAATTTTGGACATGTGTGACTAACTCACTAAGTTTCCTTGCTTTCTGAAACTATAATTTTTCAAGGGTCTACTAACTGCTATTAGTTTACCAACAACATTCGCTCACACAGCAACACATTCAACAACAGACGCTTCTACAACTACATTGACCTATTGATCTTGAATAAGTCAGAAACTTAGCAACACCTTTGCTGCCATTCTCTAAAAGGCACGTTTTGTAAATTTAGCAACAATTAGAACTTACTTTCTTATGAAAAGTGTTTCTCTACCTAGCTTAATTTTTAAGCGCTCAAAAGAATATTTGAATAATATAATAAGAATAATATATATATATATAAGAATATTATATATATAAAACACCCTTTTCCGTTTCACATAAATCTTTGTAAATAAATAATTTTTTCTATCTCAATTTTACACTGAGTCAATCTTTTTTTCTTTTTATTGTGCGCCTAAAAAGTAAATTATTTTTACTATATTGGAAAATATCCATAATATTGCTTTTAACATTTTGTCTTATATTTCATATTTCTTATATTGTCAAATATTTCACAACTTCAGATTTCATTCAAAATTCTTTATATTTGTATATAATATACATATTTTATACATAAACCGGTTACTGTATGACAATAAAGGTTTAACAATTTACATTTCAAATCTCATCCTTTTCTCTCGTTATTTAGTGCGTTACTGATGGGTGTAAATAAAGTCGCCTCATTGACAGACTCATTTTCTTTGCTATCCCATTTTTTTAGAGCCAACTGCTGTTGCTAAAACTTAAATTTTATACTAAATACACGTAGAATTTATAAAATATTTGTCGTAAAAATTGTTTATGGACAAAATTGAGTAAAATTTCTATCAATTAGGCAATATTTCCACTCCAGGTTAAAAGAATTCAAACTGAAGCGTTCTTGACATATTTTTACATTCTGTCTATAAATTATTATTCATTCCGATATGATATTTTACATAACATTGATAAGCGACTGGAAAGAATACAGAGAAATAGTCAATTACAAATAATATTTTAATAATTTGAAAAATTTCTAGGCGATTTCTCAGTTAGTTTTGAAGAAATTAAAAACCAAATAGGAATTAACCTCAGGGATTTTTTGAAATTCTTAATTTTTTTCTGTCTTAAGTCAATTCAGAATTTCTTGTAATTTACCGATTTTCCATTCCAAAAGTATTGAAATGAATGACACAAAAGATTATTTGCAGTTTTAAATATACTGTCTAATGCAAATATTGACCAACATATTGGTAAGAATATAAAAAAAAAACGGATAATTTATTTACGAAGTTTAGGTTAGTCCCACATGAGAGTGGGCACCCAGTTAGGACCAAACTCATTATAGTATGAATTTGAATTTACAAAACTTAGTTTAGTCTGGCACAAGGCTATAATTCAATTAGAATATACACATTATTAAAAGGATCTTTCCTTTTGTCTACTATAGTTTATTTCTTAACTGTTGGACTAAAAAAACTATTAATGCAAATCTCACTTTTCAGAAACTTACGAAATTTCTTTATTCACTAAAAATTCTAATCGCAAATTTCATTCACTTGATGAAATTTACAGAAAGTCTATGTCGTCTTGTAAAATAGAGGCCAAAAAGTTAATCACTCTGAGCATTACCACTGCAGTGAGTTTAATTCACGCTTGATGTCCACCACTTGTGGCTTTGTGTCAGATAAACTTTGATAATTATCAGCTTTTTCATGACACGTTATAAAATAGAGATTAGAAAGTTAATTTCGCAGAAGATTTCTACTGTCCTAAGTTTATACCACGCCGGGTGTTCCACTTTTGTGCCATATGTTGAGTAAATATCTATTTTGGGTCGCTTGCTGTAAATTAAATGTTTAGAATGTAGTGGGTTTGATCACTATTAATGTCCTTGTGCCAGACAAAACTAAGATTAAATATCAGGTACGATGATTCACCGTATAATAATGATTATATTAAATTATTTTTATAAACTAATACATAGTGAGTTCGTTCCTCACAGGACGAGTTATATTTGCGGTCTTTTGCCAGACTAAGCTAAGTTTAGTAAACATTTAAGCATTACATACTATACTTTATATAATCAGTCAATTGACCACAACCAAATGCATTACCAGTAATGGGATTTTTTTTTTATTCTCACAAATCGGATTTAACTGTCTCTGGATACAAGCGATATCAGTTTCCAGATTTTCTGAAGCTGTCTCAATTGTTGCAACAGACAAATACGTGTCCCTTTATTAATCTGCATGTCTTTCCATGGTTACGACTACTAAGTTCAACTACAGCTGTTATCAGAATATATCGGATAGAGTTACTACTACTTTGCCATTTTGAATTTCGTTACTTGTGAGTTGGCTAGCTTGAAAAGACAGTTCTCGGTTCCATGTTTATTGATGATAATAGAAATATTTTTTTTAACTTTTCAAGAGAAAAATCATCGCTTAGCATATCACTTATATATCTCGGAAGAAGTTGATAGTTTATTATATGAGCTTTGAATTGAAGTGACGATGGTTTTGTTTTAACATATTTTTCTTATTCACCCCTGGCATTTTATTTTCAAGCAAATACAATGACTGCATCAAATAGTATATTAGATTTGCCAACAAGAAATGAACTTCACAAATTCACATCTTTTGAACATTGCGTAGCTGGAATTATCTACGCACTTCTCGGTAAGTAAAAAGAAAATAATCCTTCCTCTAAATTCTTACATCTAGAATTCAAATAACTGTAAAAGTACAGAACACTTTTTGGGTGTTGGATATATGTCGTTTTATACACTAAGTTTTTTTTTTTTTTTTTAGGAGGGGGGGTATTTTTTATTATTACCATACTTTTTAGCAGTACCGGAATTTTGCAGATGTTAGTTCGATTAAATGAAAAATATTATCATTATTATATTTTATGAATTCACTTGTTCATACGAAATGCTTGGTCATCACTGTACACTGGGTGACAACATCTTAAATCTCCAGCACTTTCGTCAGCACCTTGTCGTGGCTTAAAAAGTGTAATTCCCTTAATCGTAATTCCAGGGTTCCGACTGCGCCAATTATTATACGAATGGCCTTAATCTTTTCTGCCTTCAAATCAGTGATGTGAGATATTCAGGTTTTTTATATTAGAAATCCGAACATCCGAATTCAAAACAACAATAAAATATATTGGCCTTGGTTTCATGCCTGTTAAATCATTTGGGCAAACATATTACATGAATTCAAAAGAATCAAAAATGATTTAAAAGTACTTTAATAACTTTGGGTGGTTTTAAAGAAAAAATCTGAAAAGACTTTTATTAACTGGTCTATCTAGATGAAAAAGACTTTTATCGTTATCAGACCGACTTTGGCATTATCGTTGGAAATGAGTCGATTAAAGTCGACGACTAGCTGTACATGATTCGTTTGAAGTCGCCGACGCAGGCTTTCGGCATTTTTTTCCCATCTATGGGATTTAATAAGAAATTTTTCCCGAATGTAGGCTTGAGAAGAATACGGTTTTAGTTTGTTCTGATTGGCCAAATATTTCACATGGCGATGTTAATTTCTAACCAATAGACACTGTCATTTAAACATTCTATATTGTGCTTATAAATATTTGTAATATTGTCGTTATTGTCCTGTTTTAATATGCTATGCATGCGGGTTATTTAGGTTTATTTCCTATAATATCTTAGCCATTTTTGCAAATTTTTCGTTTTGTTTTTTGGGAGAAGATACAGTTGATAAACCTATATATTTTATTTACCTTGTTTATGTTTATCTTATCAGATATTCTGGCTTGAATCTCAAAGTTCGAATATCAATAACCTGGTTTGGGATCATTTTTCATTGTTGTTTTTATGAGAATGACGATGTCTAGTGTTTATCGTTGTTGATCGAATAACAGAAAATTTCCTCATATCTAGACGATCAACATCATTATCTTTGCCGATCCATGACTGACGAGTCGAGATTTTTTCCTCCAATCGCGCCAGTAATGTTGCCATATTCCATAGATGTGTGTCTGTCTGTCTGTTTGTGTACGCGCGCACGTGCTTTACGTTTACATTCCACGTGGTTTGCTGGATCTGCGGAATTTACAACCAAACAAATTTTCTTAATATTTTCCGTCTCGTCAATCATGTATCGAAAGATCGCCTGTCCTAAATGACTGAAGTTGGACTCTGACGAGAAAAAAACTGGCACGAAATCTGGTGGGAGTTATTCGTGATTACTGTCACTGTTTATCAATGTTCTCATCACTAACTTAATCATATACAGAATGTTTTTTAAAGCGAATAAACATATACAAACCGACCGAACAACGAAGAAAAATGATAAATAATAATAATTATCTCTTTTATTCACAACAGAGTTCTTTAAATGAAATAATTTTCTTTGTTTTCTTTAATTTATTTTTGACTTCAATTTAGTCATTCATCTTATATGTTCATAGCGATCACTTCTACTACTACTACTACATCAGTTGCAGTAGTTACAACAGTTGACGAGAAGACACATGAATGAATGCCAACTTCCCACTGATGCTAAATGTCGTATTTCGTGCTGAAAATTTCGACTACTGATTTTCTACGCTTGCAACACATTCCATTCCACTTCGAAGGCTTGCCTAACCATACTCTTTTTTTTACGTCCCTCATTCGTTTCGCGATTGGAAAATAATTAACGCTTACCAAGTGAGATATTTCCTACCTACCGGCACTGAAGGTTTGGTATTCGAACACAGGTAAAAAAAAAAAAAGTAAATGTTGATTTTCAAAGTAGACTAAACGTAGCTTAGACTGCGACGATTTCCCCCCTCTTGACCTTGTGCCGCACTAACGAAAAGTTGGAAACAAAAAAACGAAGTATTCCAGTTCCACCAGTTCTAATGGGACCCGCCATGGGCCCAGAATTGAACCCTCTTCCTTTCATAATCCATTGTTGTAATTCCACACAAGATTTTTCAAGGATGATGTTCCCCAAAGTCAACTGTTATCGTCCCAATAGATCCCCAACCATTTTATCCTGTAAGTGCCCTTGAGTGGCTCTTGGATCTTTCTCTGTCACAAATGTGATAAGGATCGAACTTTCTACAGTTGAATATCTTGTTAATCGTTTTTATAGTGAGGTACCGTTAAAAACCCACATAGCCTTATTTAATGAGCATAACTTATGACCAATTTTAACAGGGCAGACATTAAAATTTTCCATTTCTACTATTATCAAATTATGATTCAAGATGGGCCTTTAGCTGTTTCATTTTAACGAATTGAAGAACTTTATTAACTATCATGAAATTTGATGTGCCATGCGTTATAATTTTTTTCCCATAGTAGGTTGACTTTTAATTCTGCGGTAGACCAGTTACCATTCAAAAAAACCCGTTCTGTTCTATTTAAAGCGCGTAAGTGAATCAGTTCAGTTATGGATCTGAAATAATCTTTCGATACATGACTGACGAGACAGATTTTTTCCCGCAGTATGTTGCCATTTCTTTCTGCGGTAGACTAGTTGCTGTCCAGGGCTATGGAAGCTGGTCTGTCCTGCTATTTACCCATATCTGGTGGGAGAAGAAGAGGATTCATAAAGGGTATAATGCAATGATTTCTAAACTTAGCTTAAAAAAAACTACTGTAGTGGAAACTAGAAAATCAGTAAATTAGTCTGCGATTGGAGCCAATTAATCTTGTTCTTGAGTACTGATTTACTAAACGTAGCTTAGATGCGACAAAAAGCCACGAGTATGGGACACCTAGGGAGAATTGAACTCACTATTTAGTTGTAATTGATTTTTCAAGGCAAGTCTGCTAACCATTTTATCACGTGGAAGTGCCTCTATCTGTGAGTAGCAAATAAGAGCGTCCTCCTTTCATTTCCCACGCAGACATAGCTTTATTTTACTATTTAAATTATGATCAAAGTGTTTATTTTATGAAGATTGATTTAGGTTATAATTTTTTAAAATAAAAAGTGCTTTCAAAACGCCTAGTTCAACAGAAAGTAAAGTTTAAAGAGCAACATAGTTTCAGAAGTTATTGTTAAAGTTATTTTATTAAAAGTGTGTGTGTGAAATGAGAACGAATCAAATATAAATTCAAACGTTCATAACATTAATTTAAAATAGGGCTCAATACAGTTCAATATTAGAGCAAAATTCTTTATTAAAGTATATTACATTCAAACATGTATAAATATCATATATATATATATATATATATATATATATTCTGGATATATATTATACATTCGAAAATGCTTGACATACTTAGGATTGGCTGACCTACCAATTATCAAAAGTAGAGCATTCTGTCTCTCTTCTTAACTCTGGCAAAATAATTCGTATGTTATCGTATGTTATCACTTTACTCGTTTATTCATGTAGCGAAAATATTACATTTTTTAGATAATTTATCTATATCTGAATCAATATCTAATAATCATACTCTACTACAGATGTTTAAGGATTTATTCTTTTATTTCTAATTCAAGTTTTAGCAGCAGTAATCGGGATTACTAAAACTGCGACTGCGTGGAACGGTCATTCACTGAGCTATATTAGCCTTTTCTCTACCACATCCGACTGTGGTATTTTAAAACAACGAGAGAAAAACGCTAGGAGTTAAAATGAAATTAAGAATTAATTTTATTGAAAATAAGCAAAAAATGCTAACGTTCGAGAAAAAAAAAGGGGGCACAGAGCTGAAGTGTTTTGAATTTACTTGAAGCTGAATAAAACAAAAGGTTAAGTAGCAAAAGTTTGTTTTATTATTTTGAAAAATTCATTGAATCAGTGTATAATGGCGATTTTCTAAGCGTAGGTCGAAAGTCGTGGGGAACCCAGTGAGAATCGAGCTCACTACTTAATAGTAACCTTTCCTAGTGAGACAAGCTTGCTAACTATTACACCAAGTTGAAGCCCCAAATCAGTTTAGAAAATTCCACATTCTATTCATTCAAATTAATACACTAATGTGTATTAATTTGAATGAATAGAATGTGGAATTTTCTACAAATAAAGACTTTCTGGATGAATAAAAAAATCTTTTTGTGAAAATGTATGTGTATTGAAAATACACTTATTTGGCAGATGCTGTAATAATATTATATGGAATTAATTTTCTCTTGAGTAACGTGAATTTCTGAGGATTCCAACGTACATTGAAGAATTATCATTTCTATCTCCGGTTGTTTTCGAAAATAGAAATTCTTCTCAATGGTTTTAAAATGCGATATGCATTTTTTTAATTGGCTACAGAGTTTTGTAAATTGTTCCAATTTATTTTAAGCGGGAACATTATCAAGCTTCTGTGATTCAAAATCTTAGTATTTAAAATTAAGAGGAAATCATTTCTTTTAGGGACTTTATTTGTTGCACATGTACCGTCAAAAAACGGCCATAATTAAATACTTTTACAATTGCATTTTGTTTACAATAAATTCTGTTATCGTGTAGTGAACAAAACAAGATCTAGATTTAAAATTAAAATGCTAAACACTGACTCATTGATTTTGTTAGAAATTAAAAAGACTCGAATTTACAAACTTTGCTTAACACACACGCAAAAGCGAATCCAAAACAAAACTCATGAAATTTTACACCTTGATGCGAAATGTTTTTCGGACAATAGAAAACTAGGAAACATTTTAAAACAAAATTCAAATAATCTTCAATTCTCAGAAACAAATTC